GCGATATCTAATTTACCCGACTACTGTGAATTTAGATGGGGATTCCAATATCCAACAGAAGTTCTTTCGTCTCGTCTGTGACTGTGAATTGACTGAATAAACGGCTGAAATCAAGAAAAAGATCGAAAAAGTCAAAGAACGATTCGGAGCAAAGAAATAAAAGAACAAAAGTCGTATGGATTCACAAAGAATCTGTGGATAGAAACTAAAAAAGAGATGTCAAAGTAGTTCTGATGATTCAATAATATTATTACTTCAATTCGGAGTTCTTAGTTACTTCGACTGGATAAATCTTAGCGATGGACTAATTAAGTCATAATTCATTGGTTGATTGTATCATTAACCATTTCTTTATTTTGGTGCGAGGAACTTATCATGAATCCACTGATTTTTGCCGATTCCGTTATTGCTGCTGGATTGGCTGTAGGGCTTGCTTCTATTGGACCTGGAGTTGGTCAAGGTACTGCTGCGGGCCAAGCTGTAGAAGGTATCGCGAGACAGCCAGAGGCGGAGGGAAAAATAAGAGGTACTCTATTGCTTAGTCTGGCTTTTATGGAAGCTTTAACAATTTATGGACTAGTTGTAGCATTAGCACTTTTATTTGCAAATCCTTTTGTTTAATTCTAGAAATATGAAAAATATGTATTTTTCATATTTTATTGCCTTGGATGTCGCCTGCTTTGTCGAATTATATCAAGATTTCACTCCTACAATTACTTATTCGTTGAGAAAATAATCCATGGGAAGGGCTGATTTGAGGATGAGGAATTAGCATACCGATTCGCTTTTGTCCTTCCCGTTCTTAGTGCAAGGGAAACCTTTTTTTAGGCAGTGTTGCAACAAACGATGTAATTCGCAATTTCTAAATTGAATATATTTTTGACTTTATTTAGAAATAGGAAAATATAAAACAAAAAGAAAACAAGAAATATAAATAAAAAGGGGTGCGAAGTGCTACAAAAAGAACTCTGTTCGATTTTTTAGTCTATCTATAATAGGAGATCATATGAAAAATGTAACCGATTCTTTCGTTTCCTTGGGCCACTGGCCGTTCGCCGGGAGTTTCGGGTTTAATACCGATATTTTAGCAACAAATCCAATAAATCTAAGCGTAGTGCTTGGTGTATTAATCTTTTTGGAAAGGGAGTGTGTGCGAGTTGTTTATTTCAAGAATAGGCTGGATCCGACCAGCTGTACTTTTTCCGCTATAACTAGGAAAGAAAGGTGCATGATCTCGCGAATTACTTCTGAATAAATTAACAAATCATATGTAAGAACCATAGCATTTCGTGATTCATTGGTAAATCTACTTTGATTCTCTATCAACCAGTAATGTGGGACTCTTAAACATGGTTAAAGCTAAGCCGTTTGAAGTCTAAATGCAGCATGGTACTCTTTCTACCATTATGTTAATACAGAGATGGTTTCAAAATGAATATTTTTTTGGTATAGAACACTCATATCGATAAAATGATTTGAACCATTTATTGGAAAAATGGTTATTTCACCCCTTTTTATCTAATGCTGAATTGACAACCTATGTATTATGTATAAAGTAAGAAGAATTAGTTGGATTTGAAGAAAAAAAAGAAACAACTTTGCTGACAATTACATATTTTTGTTGGGTCAGAAGAGTCCTCCGAATATTTTGGGTTTTAGTTTCGCTATTTTTATTTTGGAATATGAACAGAGAAGAGAGGATAGGCTCATTACATTAAAAAAAATAAAAATATGGTAATTTACCATAAGTAATTGAAGTAATTGAGCGTGAGAGCCAAATGAATTGAAAGATTTATGTTTGGTTCGGGAAGGGATTATGGAAGTTTTTAAATGAATGGAAAGATAATCTACTTTCATTAAGTGATTTATTAGATAATCGAAAACAGAGGATCTTGAATACTATTCGAAATTCAGAAGAACTACACGGAGGAGCCATTGAACAGCTGGAAAAAGCCCGAGCTCGCTTGCGGAAAGTGGAAATGGAAGCAGATCAGTTTCGCGTGAATGGATACTCTGAGATAGAGCGAGAAAAATTGAATTTGATTAATTCAACTTATAAGACTTTGGAACAATTAGAAAATTACAAAAATGAAACCATTAATTTTGAACAACAAAAGGCAATTAATCAAGTCCGACAACGGGTTTTCCAACAAGCCCTGCAAGGGGCTCTAGGAACTCTGAATAGTTGTTTGAATAACGAGTTACATTTACGTACCATCAGTGCCACTATTGGCATCTTTGGGGCGATGAAAGAAATAACTGATTAGTCCTTCTATTATAGGCATTATTTTTTTTTGCTTTCAAAAAAGAATTAAGAAATACTCATGGTAACCATTCGAGCCGACGAAATTAGTAATATTATCCGTGAACGTATTGAGCAATATAATTGAGAAGTAAAGATTGTAAATATCGGTACTGTACTTCAAGTAGGCGATGGCATTGCTCGTATTCATGGTCTTGATGAAGTAATGGCAGGTGAATTAGTAGAATTTGAAGAGGG